GAGCAGGGGGCAGGGGAAGGGGCAGGGGCAGGGGGCAGGGGGCAGGGGCAGGGGGCAGGGACAGAATGGTTAATTCAATCTGCCTCAAAGGCCCGAGCCGACCCCACGCCATGAGGGGAAGCGGTGGGGACTGGGGGCAGGAAAGATTGCAGAGAGAAACACGCGAAGGGGGGAGTGAAAGAGCTGTTTGGATAACCTCAACGACCCGCGCTGACCCCACCAGACACACTGCGATGGGAGGGAGGGATGGGGGCTGGGGGTAGGGGGCAGGGAAGGAAAGAGACCATTGGGAAAGACACGGAGGAGGTAATGAAAGAGCTGATCAAATCGCCTCAAAGGCACGCGCTGACCTCACCAGACACAATCCATGAGGGGGAGGCATGGCGGCTGGGGACAGGGAAACAGAGCATTGGGACTGGTAACGGTTCACTGGCGTGGATGACCTGGCTAATTCCCGAAATCGAGCACCAATGTGTCTCATCTCACCTCACGCTCCATGTTCTCCTACAAGTTTCCCGATTCGTTGCATTCAAGCCCCCACAGCGAGATAAGCGGCGGCACGAGCGGCTGTATGAGCCGCCAGAAAAGTATTCACGTCACCTCCAAAGTGTCCTGATTCGTTGCATTCAAGGCCGAGAAGGAGACAAGCAGCGGCACGACCGCCGCCGCGCAGGCTGCAAGCAGGCACACGGACCGCAATCCCGAGCGCGGTTGCAGCCAATAGGAACCGCCAGCGGCGCGGTCACGCGACTTGGGAAGGCGAAACGGGGAGGGAGCCATGATGAATTGAGGCCGAAATTCAGGCGGATTTCGTTCCGTCAACCTGTGAGCCTTCGCCTCTGAGTAGACTGAGAAGGGGTTCTCGTGTCCGCGTGGTCCAGGCTCGGAATTGACTCAGCCATTGAGGCCGAGGCGCAAGCCCAGGTGTGACGCGACTGTCGAGTCGACTCAAAAGTTAGGGTTCGTATCGTAGGCACAAGCCAAGATCTTACGGGACTTTCTAGGGCTTGAAACAAAACACTCGTGAGCGAACGGCCCTGGCACAAAGAAACGTCCCAATGTGATCATCTCATCACCCGTCAAAACCATGGATCCAGATTCGTGTCGCAGTCGTTTGGGTCGAATTTTGCCGTAAAGGTATGGGGTGACAGAAAAAAACGCGTATGGGGACAAAGGAGAGACTCCATAAGAAACCCTTCACTACTAACTACTGCATATGCGATCCTTTCCATAAAATATTACCAAGGCAAGGCCAGGATTGAATGGACTGCTCGACACCTGAAGGCGATTGCGAACAATTTCTGCCATTTGAGTGACATTGTTACGGTTGATCGCATCGCAGTTGTCAGTCGACTGACAGCTGATCACTAAAACTGGACTCGGCGGGAAATCAGTGACTGTCGTCAAACCAATCGGCACTCGTCAGACCAATGACAGTTCACCTTCAGACCGATCAAGGTTACATGTCATGCTCGGGACCAATCGAACTCATGCGTGAGATTCCAAAAGGGGTGTCGAGCAGGCCTGTCGAAGTTTCTGGGGCTCGTACTTGGACTCCCCAGCTCCCCATCTGACCCTTGGTTGGGTGTGGGTGAGCGTTTTGGCGCCCTTAACGGTCACGGGCGCACCCCAAAGTGAAAACTTGAAATCCGGGCATGTATTGGACACTAAGGGCGTGTGTGATTCTGGAAATTGGATAAGTTTACAATTTTTTTGTCGAATGTAGCATTTGAACTTGAGCCGAACAGTGTTCGACTTCCGCTGAACGTGAAGTTTGAGCCGCGCAAAAAAATCACACACCCGAGTTCGAATTTGAATGTTCGACCTTATAGGGGGTGCGACGAGCCGCTCGTAGGGGATGTAGGTATTATTCCGTAGACATCGCGCCACGTCAACATACTGACTGTGGTTTTCGGCGGAGGTTTTATTGCATCGCAGTTTTCGCCAAATTCGCCACTCGTCGTACTTGCGCAAAACAGCACACGTTCGGCTCACTGTACGCGCCCGCATTTATGCATTGACTCGAGTCGAGTTCGGAAATGTTGGGTCGCATTTGCCAAGTGTTCAAAGGAAAGACTTCCGTCACACGGCTTTCGCGACACTGACGAAGCTGGTAACTAAAAAACGTTCGACCTGTTTTTTGAACCTAGAATAAAATCCTACACGCCCTAAGAGAATGTTCGGGTGCTCCAAGGCTGACTGAGACACTCTACACACACGAGATTTGCTAGAAAACGCTAAGGGAAAAATACACTTGGCGCGCTCTCGTGCAGGCTGAGGAGAAAGAGGGGGGGGGGTCTCTGGCAGCCTGGGGGGGGGGGGGGGGGACTCCTACGGTCGGAAACCAAAACTTAGATAAAGGGGAAGGCCTGGTTTCGTCCCTTAACGCATCCGGGGAATGGTCGAACGAAGCACTTAGTGGCACGGGTGGAGTGCGAATCTAAAACTTGACGCATTGGAGCTGGAGCGAAACTAGCCCTTAATGTTCAGGGCATTAAGGGCATATGCCCTTGAATCGACAGGCCTGGTGTCGAGTGTCGTCGAAACACAGTTTGCCCGTGGCGACGTTCGCCATAATACAGCCAGCTGGTGCAGCTCAGGATGTTCAGTAAAACCGGACTCCGTGAACGACGTCGTCAAACAAATCAGCATTCGTCGTCCGACCAATCAAAGTTCCTCTTCGGAGCAATCAAGGCTACACTCCGTCAGCACCGGACCAATCGAAATCATGAAGAGATTGCAGAAGGGTGCGTAGAAGGTGTCGTGACTCGTCGAACGAAACGCAATCATGCCCGTCCGTAGCGACGTTTGCCATACTGTAAACGGGCGATTGCGTTTCGTTCGACGAGGTTGTGATGTGATTGTGCCATCTACGTGTCGTCGATCACAACCTGGCGCGGTCTTGATCGATTAGACGAACCAGAGATCCGGAACCAGCAGACTACTAGTGCGGAACGGAACCGGGCACTACTAGTGCAGAGTGGTGGAATCGGACGAACTACTTGTTCGCTCGGGCTGTGATTCCTGGCTGCTGTGCGGCCTGGTCTGTCCGCTTAGATTCCGACGGCGTTATCGTCTGACATCGCTCGGACCGCGACTTCCAGGCACGAAAAAAAAAAATCGATTAACTGGTAGGTCCGCCGGGATCTTGCGAAAGGGGCAAACGTTCCGACAATTCCGGCAGATTATTCGCATCTTCAAAAGAGGCCCGAACTGGGGGTCTGTCTCGAATTTTCTGACGGTGAGATTGCGCGACGAACCGCCTGGCTTGTTTCGTATTGTGCCTGAGAGAGTAAACGCGTTTATAGTCACACTCAGCGAGTGTCACTTGGCCGTTACGTAACCGAAGCGATTGGTGAAAATCGGCGTCGACTCGATTCAAACTCGGAGTCTCCGGAACAGAGTCTGTCAGAATCAATCCGTTAGCTCACTCACCTCCCTTCGATTGGTCTACGACATTAACTCACCCTTCACCCGCCACCATAGGATACTTCTGGAGGGCGATTCGCCTAGGTCGCGCGGGCTTTATTCGCGGCGGCGCGATGGTGCTTCTAAGAGCAAAGGCTTTCGTTATAGTCTTCGCCGTTCTGACGGTAGCGTTCTCGGCGGTGCACTGGCCGCTCAGACGCTCGTGGCGCGACAACCTCGTGGCGCCTGGAGGAAGGGATGATGTGAGTGAGCGAGTGAGTGTGTTTGAGGAGTGAATGAGGGAGGGGGGACTGAGCGGTGCACTGGCTGCCCAGACGCTCGTGGTTCGATAGCCTCGTAGCACCTGGAGGAGCGGACGAGGGATTGAGTGAGATTGTTTGAGTGAGTGAGGGAGGAAGGGAGAAGTGCAGCGGTGCACTGGCCGCTCAGACGCTCGTGGCGCGACAACCTCGTGGCGCCTCAAGGATGGGATGATGATGTGGGTGAGTGAGGGAGGGAAGGAGGGAGAGAGGGAGTGAGGTAGTGAGTTATTGAACGAGAAAGTGAGTTAGTGAATTGTTTTGAAGTGAGCGGGAGAGTGTGGGAGGGAGGAAGGAGGGAAACTGGAGAGGGGTGTGGGTGAGTGAGTGAATGGTTGGGTGGGTGGGTGAGTGATTAAGTGGTTGGGTGAGTGACAGTGTGTGTGGGTGGGTGAGTGATTGTGTGGGTGGGTGAGTGAGTGTGTGGGTGGGTGAATGATTGTGTGTCTGGGTGAGTGAGTGTGTGGGTGGATGAGTGAGTGTGTGGGTGGATGAGTGAGTGTGTGGGTGAGTGAGTGTGTGGGTGGGTGAGTGTGTGGGTGGGTGAGTGTGTGGGTGGGTGGGTGAGTGTGTGGGTGAGTGTGTGTGTGGGTGGGTGAGTGAGTGTGTGGGTTCTCCCTGATCTTCAGTCTTGTCATTCTCGCGCAATTTCTGTTCCACATTTGAATGTGAAGAGTGGATGGCAGAGAGGGAAGAGTGGCGATGGAGGACAGAAGAGCCACTCAAGCTCCTCACCCCCTTCTCCCCCTCTTCTCCTCCCCTCCTCTTTGCATTCCCTGGTTCACTCTCCCCTTCCACCAGCCGCCACTCCTCCCGCCCATAGCAGTGTGTCTGGTGGGGTCAGCGCGGGCCTTTGAGGCAACGGGCCCTTCGCTGCTGCGCCACCTGCTGCTGCCCTCCGCCCATCCCTCCCCCGGCTCCCCCGATCGCTTCCTCCCCTCACACCGCTCCTCACACCTTTCCCACCCCTCCCACCGCCCCTTACACCTCTTCCTGCACGCGCCTCTAGACGAAACCGCGGCCAAACTCAGCTTCCTCCGAAACTTCCTCAGCATTACCAGCAGCGGCAGCAGTGACAGCAGCAGCAGCAGCAGCAGCAGCAGCAGTAACAGCCACAGCATTACCAGCAGAATGCTTAGATTGCAACGGGAGGCGGGGAGTAATGACGTGGCAGCTCGGGATTGGGTGCGTCTGGTGCGGGAAAACGCCATAGCAGCAGTGCGGATATTTTCAAACAGTGACGTGGATGAGACAAAATACCCCACTGGGGTGATGCACACTGGCGACTCGCCCAGTGGCCTGCAGGGTCTGCTACAGTACTTCCGCCTGGTGGAGGGATGCTGGGACACGATCCAATCGTTTGAAGCCACGTCAGCAGCACCGCCCCTGCGCTACAACTGGATCGTGCGGGCCCGCCTCGACTCCCTCTGGACCGCCCCCGCCCCCATCCAACCCCCGCCGCCCATCCTGCCGCCCAGCGTTCCCCCTATAGCCACCACCACCGCCGCTGCTCCAGCAGCAGCAGCAACAGCAGCAGCAGCAGCAGCAGCAGCAGCTATTCTTAATGGCAGTGGGGTGGGTGGTGGGCTGGCCTACATGATTCCATATGGGTCGGACTGGTGGGGGCTGAACGACCGGTTTGGGATGGGAGGCAGGCAGGCGAGTGCAGTTGCGATGAAGCGGCTGAGTGCGCTGGCACTGCTGGCAAGGAGCAAGATGCGGTGAGTGAGTAGATTTGCTCAAGGTTTGTTGAATATGGGAAGGCTGGTGAGGTGATGAGAGGGCTGGTGAGGTGATGAGAGGGCGGCACGTGAGTGCCGTGCCGTGGCGTTGAAGCAGTTGAGTGCTCTGCAGCTGCTGGCAAGGAGCAAGATGCGGTGAGTGAGAGGCTCTATCTCAGGGTTTGTCTAGTGCAACGGGCCAACCCGCCCTTCTTTGTGCTCTCCTGCCCTCTTGCCATGCCTGACCTCCCACTGTCCTCTCCTTCCTCCCTCACCTACACCCTCCCAGAGGCCTCAACTCAGAGCGGGCCTTTAAAGCCCAGCTATCTTTTGGGGGCATCACGGTGCAACGGGCCAACCTGTCCTTCTGTGTTCTCTCCCAGCGCACCTATCGCGACGGCTGTGCCCCCACCGTCTACTCCCTCAACTCCTCCGTTCCGCTAAACGGCGCCAAATGCCGCCCGTGCAGCCGCCCGTGTGCTACAGGTGAACAGGTAATTAGAAAGGGGGGATCACGTTTCGAGGCGCCTCTAAACGAAAGTCGTCCCATGTGCTTCTGACGAAATGGGTCATTAAGGAGGGATCAACTACCCACTGCAAGCATTCCCTGGCACGTACCAAGGAGGGATCAACTACCCAAATGGGTCAATGACCCCGTTGTCTACTCCCTCAACTCCTCCGTGCTGCTAAATGGCGCCAAATGCCGCCCATGTAGCCGCCCGTGTTCTTTTGGCGAGAAGTAACCAAGAATACGGGATCAGTTGACCCTTGCTCTGTGGCCCCATATTTTACTCCCTCTGTCGCTCCATATGTGCTTCCCTCCCTCTCCTCTCCTCTCCCCCCTCCTTCCCCCCCCCCCCCCCCCCCCCCCCCTCTTCCCTCAGGCTCAAACTTTTCTCAGTCGTATCTCCCCCTCCGCCCCCAACTGGCCAGAGCCAGCAGCAGGAGATGGCGAGGTTGGGGGGTGTGATTCATCATCCTCCATCTCTCCTTCCCTACCACACTCTTTCCCTCAGGCCCGAGCTCTCCTCTCCCATATCGCCCCTTCCGCCCCCAACTGGCCGGGGCCAGCAGCAGGGGAAGGCGAGGTGGGGGTGTGTGACTCATTTTCCTCCATCTCTCCATCCCTTCTCCCTTTCCCCATCCCCTCTTTCCCTCAGGCCCGAGCTCTCCTCTCCCGTGTCGCCCCTTCCGCTCCCAACTGGCCGGGCCCAGCAGCAGGGGAGGGCGAGGTGGGGGTGTGTGACGCGGCGAGGGGGTGGGAGGAGGGGTGGGAGGGGGAGTTTGATGCTGTTATGGGGGGGGAGATGGCGGAGGGGCGGAGGAAGGTGATGCGGGAAGCCATGGGGAGCATTGAAGAGTGTGTGAAGGCGTGGGAAGAGGTGAGTGGCGATAGTGGAGAAGAGGTGATATTGGTATAAGGTGAGAGTGGGAGGAAGGATGGGAGGGGGGGATTGATGCGGCCGGCTGGTGGGAGGAGGGGTGGGAGGGGGAGTTTGATGCTGTTATGGGGGAAGAGATGGCGGAGGGGCGGAGGCAGGTGGTGCGGGAGGCAAAAGGGAGCATTGAAGAGTGTGTGAAGGCGTGGGATGAGGTGAGATTGAGAGGGGTTGGGAGTGGGAGAGGTGAGATTGAAATGAGGAGGTGAGAGTGGAAGGCAAAAGGGAGCATGGAAGATTGTGTGAAGGCGTGGGAAGAGGTGAGAGCGGGAGGTGAGAGCGGGAGGTGAGGGTGGGAGAAGGTGAGAGACAATGGGGAGCATTGACGAGTGTGTTAAGGCGTGGGATGCGGTGAGAATGGGAGGAGGGGTGGGAGGAGGTGAGCAAAAGGAGGTGAGTTGGAGGGGGTGAGGGAGGTGAGGAGGTGAGTTTGATGTGCTATCATCCTGAGAGGTGTGTGTGCGAGCTCGCGTCCGCTTCCCACCTCAAGTTGTGAAACGTATCAAACATATCAGTTTTGAGACGTCTCAAAACATATCAGTTTTGAGACGTCTCATAACGCGGTGTGTTTGTTAGCTCATGTCCGCTTCCGACCTCCCCTCTCATCCTTCCCATTCCAACTTCACCTCTTCAGTTCCGCGCCCGCACCGTCTCCTTGGATGCGCCATCACCACGAGCAGTCTGTCTGCGTCCCTCCATGCCGTCTTCCCCATTCCACCTCCCCCTTCCCATTCCCTCTTCCCCCTCACCCCAGATCCGCACCCTCACCGTTTTCTGGGATGCGTCATCACCTCGAGCAGAGCAGTCTGTGTGCGAGCTTATGCATGCTTCCCCCCTCCCCTCCCATCCCTCTCCACTTGTCCCATCCCAGTTCTATGCTCTCACCATCTCCTGGGATGCGTCATCACCCCGAGCAGTCTGTGTGCGAGCTCGCATGGGGGCTAGCTCGTGGGTGGGGGGAGGGCCGCGGGCAGAGGGAAGATTCGCCACCTTTCTGTCCCTGCTCTCCGCCTCAAGGTAATGGTGCTGTGTTGTTCATTCCCTTGTTGCTCAAGGTAATGGTGCTGTGTTGTTCATTCCCTTGTTGCTCAAGGTAATGGTGCTGTGTTGCTCATTCCCTTGTTGCTCAAGGTAATGGTGCTGTGTTGCTCATTCCCTTGTTGCTCAAGGTAATGGTGCTGTGTTGCTCATTCCCTTGTTGCTCAAGGTAATGGTGTTGTGTTGCTCATTCCCTTGTTGCTCAAGGTAATGGTGTTGTGTTGCTCATTCCCTTGTTGCTCAAGGTAATGGTGTTGTGTTGCTCATTCCCTTCAGTCTCTCTTTGATGCCACTGTGGTCTGTATAGCAGCATCAAACTTGATAGCACTATACAGGCCATAGTGATCCGTATAGCGGCCCCTTTCCCTTCCTCATTTGATCAACGTGTTTTTGTCAACGTTTGCATTGTAATTGTTGCTGCATTTGACAGTGCTGCCCCTGCCTAAACTTAGGCCCTAAAGCGCTGTTAGTGAAGATGGGTGCTGCCTGGTAAAAGTCGAGTTTTGAGTCGACTCAAAACTAGATGGGTGCTGCCTGGTAAAAGTAAGTGTTGAAGTCAGTGCTGCTGTAAATGGTACAGGGGTGATGCTTCAAATGGTACAGGGGTGATGCTTCAAATGGTACAGGGGTGATGCTTCAAATGGTACAGGGGTGATGCTTCAAATGGTACAGGGGTGATGCTTCAAATGGTACAGGGGTGATGCTTCAAATGGTACAGGGGTGATGCTTCAAATGGTACAGGGGTGATGCTTCAAATGGTACAGGGGTGATGCTTCAAATGGTACAGGGGTGATGCTTCAAATGGTACAGGGGTGATGCTTCAAATGGTACAGGGGTGATGCTTCAAATGGTACAGGGGTGATGCTTCAAATGGTACAGGGGTGATGCTTCAAATGGTACAGGGGTGATGCTTCAAATGGTACAGGGGTGATGCTTCAAATGGTACAGGGGTGATGCTTCAAATGGTACAGGGGTGATGCTTCAAATGGTACAGGGGTGATGCTTCAAATGGTACAGGGGTGATGCTTCAAATGGTACAGGGGTGATGCTTCAAATGGTACAGGGGTGATGCTTCAAATGGTGCAGGGGTGATGCTTCAAATGGTACAGGGATGATGCTTCAAATGGTACAGGGGTGATGCTTCAAATGGTGCAGGGGTGATGCTTCAAATGGTGCAGGGGTGATGCTTCAAATGGTGCAGGGGTGATGCTTCAAATGGTACAGGGGTGATGCTTCAAATGGTACAGGGGTGATGCTTCAAATGGTACAGGGGTGATGCTTCAAATGGTACAGGGATGATGCTTCAAATGGTACAGGGGTGCTGCTTCAAATGGTACAGGGGTGATGCTTCAAATGGTACAGGGGTGATGCTTCAAATGGTACAGGGGTGATGCTTCAAATGGTACAGGGGTGATGCTTCAAATGGTACAGGGGTTATGCTTCAAATGGTACAGGGGTGATGCTTCAAATGGTACAGGGGTGATGCTTCAAATGGTACAGGGGTGATGCTTCAAATGGTACAGGGGTGATGCTTCAAATGGTACAGGGGTGATGCTTCAAATGGTGCTGCCTGCATTTTACTTTTGTTCCTTCGTGCCAACAGCGGTGGAGTGAAGAGGAGGTTGGTGAGGGATGATACGAATGCTCATGGTGCTGCTCATCAGCATGAGGAGGTTGATGATACGAATGCTCATGGTGCTGCTCATCAGCATGAGGAGGTTGATGATACGAATGCTCATGGTGCTGCTTTTGCTTCCCTTTCATTCCTTGGTGTGAACAGCCAGGTGGTGGTTGCGGTGGAGGGCAGTCAAGACAGCAATGCGCTTCTTACAAACCAGTTGTCACAGGAGGGGGATGAGGGGAGTAGCAGCGGTGGAGTGAAGAGGAGGATGCTGAGGGATGATACCACCAAGGCTCATGGTGCTGCTGTAGCATCTGACACTGTAGCAGCTGACACTGTAGAATTTGACACTGTAGCATCTGACACTGAAACAACTGACACTGTTGCACCTGACACTGTAACACCTGAGACTGTACAACATGGCAACATTGCACCTGGCACTCTAGACGCTGATACTGGCACTGTAGCAACAGCTGTGGATGCGGGAGTGCTCAGGGCATGGAAAGAGGATCTGGGCCGTCGGATCAAAGGCATCTCCATCTCGCACCGTCCGCTCGCATGGCTGCTATCTGAAGCAGAGAAAGAAGGCGCTCCAATCGATGTTCTCCTGGTGAGTGAGTGATGCTTTGCTTTCCGTTTGACTCAACGCTGAAGAGTCCCATTCAGTCTGCTATGACCCCATCACCGCACCATCTCTGGGTATTGAGAATGATCAGTGACCAAATATTTCCTTATCTCCCTGCCTGTTTGCTTCCTTCCCGCACTGTTTCTTTCGCTATCCTCTTGTTTCCTTATACAATGGGATAGAGAAAGAAACAGTGGGGGAGAGAAGCAAAACAGGCAGGGAGATAAGACATGGTTCCCATCCAACCCTAATTTTCCTCCCTGCCAATTGATGCTTTCCTGGCGAGTGAGTGACTCGTTGCTTTATTTTCCTTCTGATCCAACTCATGATGCACCATCGCTCTCCTCCTAGTCCACTTCTCCTGCCCTCCTCCTCACACCACCTCTTCTCCCTGCCCCCCTCACCTCTCCTCTCTGCCCGTCCTTGCCACATCTTTACCTCTCCTCGCCCCCAGGTGTCTCTCTCCCCAACCTCAGAATCTGTAGTAACACGATGGTCAGCCAATTACAGGCCTCCAACTCAGTTGTCTGCCCATCCTCACCACACATTTACCCTTCCTCACCCCAGGTACCTCTCTCTTCAACCTCTGCATCTGTCATAGCACAGTGGTCGGCCAATCGCAGCGCGCCACGTGTGTGCCAGCTGCTGCTGGCAGTAGGTTCTGCTGCGGAACTAGGGCTTTTGGAAACTGCAATACAACATCTAGGGAATGTCGGGATGCAATTAGACAAGTGCGCGTTTGTCAGCCGCGGCAAGGGTCGCCATTGTACCTTCTACACTATATCGTCTTGTATAAAATAATTGCTTGTAGCAGATCACATCATGTAAAATTTATCAAAAGCTTGTGATGGGTAGGTATACTAGTGGAAAGGAGTTCCGACCCGGTACTTGTGGGAAGGAGTTCCCACCCGGTGTTATGGGATCCTTCTTTATAATTGAGTTTTGAAATTACAGTACATGGTACACTGGTATTGTTAAGGGGGGATTTACTGTACATTCCAAACAGTACTTTCCAAGTCACCCTTATCCTTATCTTCTCAGATTCTCTAGTGCCACGTGGCACTCTACTTTTCTTCCACTACAATTCTCGGTCCCACAATCCACTTTCCAACCTTGTTTCTTGCATGCTATAAAAACCTTGCTTGTACTTTGCATTATCAACCAATTCTCATTCAACTCTTCTTCAATTACTCAGTAACTCCTTCGCCTATTTCGCTAGTAGTTCTTTCGCCAAAGTCTTCCGCCGCGCTTCATCCTCGACTTAGTCGACCCCGCTAATTCTTTAGCGGACTTAGGCCAGCGGGCCTAACACTTGGTATCAAGAGCCTTCGCGGGGAGCGACTTCCAACGAGCGACCGTCGACGACGAGACTACGACGTCATCGTCCCGCGGTGCCGACTTGCAGACTTGGAGTCGTCGAGCGAACATGGACGAATCCATGAACGCTTTCCCCCACGACATGGGCAACACGCTTGCCGAGCTCATGCGTCAACTGGAAGAATTGACGTTTGAAAATCGTCAGGTACGAGCCGAAATGCAACAACTTCGCAATTTGGCTTCTAACCCCCATGGCCTTGCTGCACCAACTCCTGCACCCACCACGTCGACTGGCGCGGAAGCGCTGCCGGAACGTCGAAGCGCACTCAAGCCGCAGAAGCCCGAGTCGTTCGACCCAAGTCAACGCGACGCGAACGTGCGAACGTGGCTCTTCATGCTCAACAACTACTTCGCCGCGAGCGGGGTGCAAGAGGCGAACGCGCAGCAGCGGATCGAGTACGCCGTAACGCTGCTGAGGGGCCCGGCCTTGGAGTGGTGGCGCCAACTTACGCAGACTGCTGTACGGAGGGCTCAATTAGACGGGCATCAACAGGGCGTGGGGCATGCAGCTGCAACTTCGAGCGTAGGGAGTCTAGCTTTGGGTGTTACCACGGTTCCGACGACATGGGAAGGATTTGAAGCGGCGCTGAAAAGTAGGTTCGATTTGGTGAATGCCTCCGAAGCTGCTAGGAAGCGTCTGCGTCATTTCCGACAGATAGGAAACGTCCAGGAGTACACACGACGGTTCTTGAGCATCTGCAACGAGATAGACGACATCACGGAAGCAGAGATGCGCGATCGCTACCTCGAAGGGTTGAAGCCGGACATAGCGGAGATTATTGCGATTCACGGGTTGTCCACCTTCGAGTCAGTAGTCGCAGCAGCAGAACGCGTCGACGCAGTACGAAGCCGACGGGGTCGTGACGATCGCGATAGGGGATACAACAGACCGATCAACGACGCTCGATCGAGGGACGGACCGTCGCCCATGAAGATTGGTGCAGTTAACAGTGACGGCTCACAGCACAACGGATTTAGGGGGAACTGTCACTACTGCAAAAAGCCGGGACACATGAAGCGGGACTGCCCACAGTTCAAGGAGCGACAGCAGGGAAACGGAAACCGCCAGTAGATAGCGGGTCGCTAGCTGGTGTGGAGGTTCCCGTACCCGCCAGGTCTACCAACGTAGAGAAGACGACCTCGCAGCAGTCATCCACGGAGAACGAGGTAGACACTGTTGATCGTCCAGTCGTGCTTCTAGGGAAGCTTCGCGGAGTTCCTGTTAAGATTCTCGTCGACAGCGGAGCTAGCCACTCGTTCGTTTCGTCTTCATTAGTTAGCCGTCTCCATCTTGAAGCAGATTCTTCAGTCAACTTCAAGGACGCACGTATGATAGATGGGACGCCTCTCCACATAGGACCAGTCATTTGCAAGTTGCGCGTAGTGCTAGGACTGATCACCGTTAGGCGTGACTTCGACTCTGCGACGCTGGACGGTTACGATTTCATCTTCGGGAGAGATTGGCTACGGACTGTTAGTACTCAGTTCGATTGGGCTCAGGGAAGCTGCAGCGTCAAGGTAGACGGGGAGTTCCGGGAGCTGCCACAGTGGAGCGATGGGGCCACATCATCCACAGCGATCATCAATGCTGTTCGTGTGCGACAGCTGGTGAAGCGAGCGGCACGGATCTTCGCGGTTTTCCTTGAGGAGGTGGAAGCTGAGGAGGGGAAAGGAGGGAGTGCAGCAGTTAGTGAGAAGACGACTCTTCCTGCTGAGGTGAGTGCACTGTTAGTGGAGTTCGCAGACGTCTTCCCCGACGAGTTGCCCCCAGGGTTACCTCCTAGCCGAGCAGTCGACCATCGAATAGAGTTGGAGCCGGGGAGCAGGCCAGTATCAAAGCCGCAGTGGAGGTTGAGTCCAGCAGAGACAGAGGAGATGACGCAGCAGGTTAGGCACTTTCTCGCACAGGGGTTCATACACCCATCTAGATCACCTTGGGCCGCACCGATCCTTTTCGCGCCTAAGAAAGACGGAGGGTTACGGATGTGCATAGATTACCGCGCACTGAACGCCGCCACCGTCAAGAACAGATTCCCGGTGCCGAGAGTAGAGGATCTTCTAGATGCAGTGCAGGGCGCTAGAGTCTTTTCTAAGATCGACCTTCGTTCGGGTTACCACCAGATTCGTGTAGTTCCAGAGGACCAGCACAAGACGGCGTTTCGTACGAAGCAGGGGTTGTACGAGTTTAGGGTTCTACCATTCGGACTGACCAACGCCCCAGCGACGTTCCAGACGCTTATGAACACCGTCCTCTCCGAGTTCCTAGGTTCGTTCGTTGTCGTTTACCTAGACGACATACTCATCTTTTCCAAGTCGAAAGTGGAGCACGTGCAGCACTTGCAGAGGGTCTTTGAGGTCCTGCGGAGGGAGAAGCTGTACGCGAAGCAGTCGAAATGCGAGTTCTTTCTCCCCGAGGTCGAGTTCCTAGGACACGTCGTATCCGCTAGTGGCGTTAGGACCGACCCGAAGAAGATCGCAGCGGTACAGGATTGGGTAGCACCGACCTCAGTCAAGGAGTTGCAGAGTTTTCTCGGATTCGCAAATTACTACCGCCGTTTCGTTCAGGGTTACGCTTCCATCGCTAGTCCACTCACCGACCTACTTCGGAAAGGCGTAGAGTACGTTTGGGGTCCAGCGCAGCAGCAGGCGTTCGAGCAGATGAAGCAGTCGCTCACGTCTTCACCGACACTGTCGTACCCTGACCCCACTCGCCCGTACGTTGTAGTGACCGACGCTTCAGATCAGGCCATAGGAGCAGTACTTCTTCAGGACCAGGGACGCGGGTTGCAGCCGATCGCGTACGAGTCGCGTAAGCTGAGAGGAGCGGAGTTGAACTATCCCATACACGACAAAGAGGCGCTCGCGATCATCCATGCGTATAAGGTATGGAGGTGCTACCTAGAGGAGGCAGACTGTGTTATACGCACGGACCACTGCTCGCTTCGCTTTCTCAAGTCGCAACCGCAGCTGAGTCGTCGCCAGGCTAGATGGATGGAGTTCATGGAGGGGAGCTTTCATTACAGGATAGAGTACAAGCCAGGCGTGCGCAACCCAGCAGATCCGCTCACTCGCCCTAGTTGTCAGCTCGCTAGCCTCACAGTCACTGCAGGCCATCCACTTCTCACAGCACTCTTCGAGCACGGTTACACAGTAGATCCCGACTTCACACCGCAGCCGCCCGCAGGAGCAGAGGTGCAGGGTAGTGTTTACATACGGAAGGGCACCACACGGATTTGGGTTCCAGCCTACCGCCCTCTTCGACAGCTCCTTCTCTCAGAGGCGCACGACGTAGTTAGTGCAGGTCACTTCGAAGCAGCAAGACGGCTAAGACGCTTAGTCGCACGTACTACTGGCCAGGGCTTGCAGCAGACGTAGAGGATTACATTCACTCGTGTGACACGTGTCAGCGTACGAAGTCCTCGCGACAGCGCAAGGCAGGACTTTTGCAGCCGATTCCACCGCCCGACCGCCCTTGGCAGGTAGTTACCATGGATTTCATCATGGCATTACCGCGCACAGTTAGGGGTCACGACGCCATCTTCGTTGTAGTCGACAAGTTTTCTCGAGCAGCGCACTTCATCCCCACGCACGGCCAGGTCACAGCAGAGGAAGCCGCGACGCTGTTTGTAGATAACGTAGTTCGACTGCACGGGGTTCCCGATTCCATCATTTCCGATCGCGACCCTAGATTCACCTCGAAGTTCTGGAAGCAGCTTTTCGCACTGTTTGGGACTCGCTTAGCCATCCAGAGACAGACGGACAGACTGAGCGCGTGAACCAGACCTTGGAGCAGATCCTTCGTAGCATCACGATGCACGATGCAGCAGCATGGGACAAGAAGCTGAGCATGGCTGAGTTCGCCTACAACAACACGCATCATTCCGCCACAGGCATGTCACCGTTCTTTGCACTGTACGGTCAGCACCCCAATGTCCCCACTCGTGTCGATCTCACACCCACCGTCCCTCGTGCGGACAACTTCCACCAGCATCTCACTTTCATTCATGATCACGTGAGGAAGCACCTTGAGTTTGCAAATGCACGCATGGCACGCACCACCAACCGCAGTCGTCGTGAGGTGTCGTTTTCAGTTGGTGACCGTGTCCTTCTCGATAGCCGCAACCTCCGACTGCCACAGGACAGCAAGCTTCGCCCACGTTTCATTGGCCCATTTGTCATTGAGCGTGCACTTGGTCCAGTCGCATACCGCCTTCGCCTTCCCGCTCATTTCCGCATGCACCCATCATTCCACGTGTCTCTCCTTCGGCCTTACACTGATCCCAACGCCACCTTCTCGGGCCGTGATCGCACTCCACTGCCGGTAGCTGTTGACACCGACGAGCCCGACTACCAGATCCAGCGCATCCTCAGGCACCGTCGCCGTCTCCAGGGGGGTGTCTCTTTCATCGACTTCTTGGTTCGTTGGCGTGGTTACGATGCAGCCGACGACAGCTGGGTTCCTTCGTCCTCGCTGTCTCCCGACAACGCTTGCCTTCGAGCGTACCTTCAGTCTGCAGGCGCCGCGGACGTCGCCTCCTTGGGAGGGGGGTAGTGTTAAGGGGGGATTTACTGTTCATTCCGAACAGTACTTTCCAAGTCACCCTTATCCTTATCTTCTCAGATTCTCTAGTGCCACGTGGCACTCTACTTTTCTTCCACTACAATTCTCGGTCCCACAATCCACTTTCCAACCTTGTTTCTTGCATGCTATAAAAACCTTGCTTGTACTTTGCATTATCAACCAATTCTCATTCAACTCTTCTTCAATTACTCAGTAACTCCTTCGCCTATTTCGCTAGTAGTTCTTTCGCCAAAGTCTTCCGCCGCGCTTCATCCTCGACTTAGTCGACCCCGCTAATTCTTTAGCGGACTTAGGCCAGCGGGCCTTACAAGTATACATTGGCAATTCTAGTACACGTAGGACTCAACAGAGGGGAAACATCTCAAAGACCTTCCCCGCCCCAGTGTACCCACTTCTTCCCCGCACACTCACCTCTTCCATCAGAAGCGAAGACACACAGCTTACTAGAAACAGCTGGCATTTCAAACAGCTAGTTGACGTTGACTTACCGAGTCGCGACAAGTCCGTATTCGTCGTCGCCGCCTTTCGCGATTATCCGTCGCCTCGCCACGCAAATCGTCGCCGTCGTCGGCTGCATCGCGACGGCGCGTGTGGTGGCGGCGAATCGCCACCGCCAGTGGCGGACAAACGGGGAGTTGTTTAGAAGGGCACAACGGAGAAGGAGAGGGAGAGCTTGTGAGAATCACTTTTGAGAATTCTCAAAAGTGATTTCCATTTAGAAGGGCACAACGGAGGAGGAGAGGGAGAGCTTGTGAGAACCGAACAACGCAGGACAGCAGACGCGGTAGATTTAACGGACTAGGAATCGGCTTGGTGCAACAAGCAGAAGACATAAAAAATAGACGAGGGCGCAAGAGGCTTTTAGGGCGCCTTAAAGGCGACGAGGGACTCGGAGAGAAGGGGGGAAGGGGCCATGGCGCAGATGGTTCCGCTTGATAACTCCCTTATAGATCTCGCCTCTCTCAGGTAATGCTTCTTTAGCCTCCCTCAGGTATGGCCTCCCTCAGGTATGGCCTCCCTCAGGTAACGCCTCCCTCAGGTAACGCCTCCCTCAGGTAATGCCTCCCTCAGGTAATGCCTCCCTCAGGTATGGCCTCCCTCAGGTGCTGCCTCACACTGCCCCCACCTCAAGTGAAATGCGCTAAGAGCTGCCTCAGTTAAGGCACTGTCCGCCCCCTCCTCAACGACCTCAACAAGATACTATCCGCCCTCAATCATTGCCGCCGGTCTGTCCCATCCCTTTCCCTCTCTGCCCCTCCCATCCCTTTCCCTCTCTGCCTCTCCCATCCCTTTCCCTCTCTGCCCCTCCCATCCCTTTCCCTCTCTGCCCCTCCCATCCCTTTCCCTCTCTGCCCCTCCCATCCCTTTCCCTCTCTGCCCCTCCCATCCCTTTCCCTCTCTGCCCCTCCCATCCCTTTCCCTCTCTGCCCCTCCCATCCCTTTCCCTCTCTGCCCCTCCCATCCCTATACATCTCTGCCCCTCCCATACATACCTTGTGCGACCACCCTACTCCCTTCTGCGTCCTCCCCAACTCCACCCCACCCTCCCCGGCCCTCCGCCTCGTGTGTTTCCTGCGAGCAGAGCACACGCCAGTCAACGCCTCGTTGACGCCCTTGACTCTGTGAGTTGACCTGCGTTGACTGGGCTGACTCCTTCGTCATCATCATCACCCCTACCAGCTGCAGATGTCCCATCGTTTACTAGTAGCCTTTCCAAACCTCCCCTCCAGTTTTGCAACGCACCTCTTAACTACCACGCAGTCCAATATCCATCCCATCCCACCATCCCACCCTCCCATCATCCCATCTTCCCGTCGTCCCACCATCCCGCCATCAGATCCCATCCATCCCCACCGCATCCCATCCCACCACATCCTACCGCGTCCCATCCCACCAGGTGCCAGGCGGCAAGGCCCTGGTGCTGGATGCATCAATCAGCGGCCCGCTCGCCTTCATTGCCCCCATCTCCCTCCTCAAGGTACGTGGGCTCCATAATGGTGGTAGAATGGTAGGTCGGTCCCATTAGTCAGCTGGTCAGTCGGCAGATCGGCAGATCGGCAGGGCTCCATAATGCATGGTGAACACATGCATGGCAGATCGGCAGGTCGGTCAGTCCATGCATGTTGTTCACCATTGGTATACCCATCACCCCTCCCGTCAGTCAATCATTGGACCAGTCGCCTTGGTCGCCCCCAACTCTCTCCTCAAGGCGGGCTCCATAAGCCCAGTACAAGAGAGGCAAAGGCTTATAGAGCCCGCCTTGTTGTATTGTACAATACAATAACCTTTGCCTCTCTTGGGCTCCCCACTCCATTCCCCCACCCCACTTTCCCACTCCGTTCTGCCATGTCATTTTCCCGCTTCTTCCCCCACTCCATTCCCCTGAATCATTGCCCCCACTCCCCTCCATCCCTGCTCTCCCTAACCCCTCGTTACAGGAACACGGAGTGGAGAATCTGTTCCACATCAGCGCCGACCCCATCCAATCACAGTGCGCCACCGTCCTCTACCTGCTGCGCCCCAACCCGCTTCTCATTCGCTGGATCACACGCCAGGTACTACCACTTGGTTTCCTTCTCTATTAGTACCGCTTCGTACCGTCCTCTACCTGCTGCGCCCCAATCCGCTTCTCATTCGCTGGATCACACGCCAGGTACTACCACTTGGTTTCCTTCTCTATTAGTACCGCTTCGTAACGTCCTCTACCTGCTGCGCCCCAATCCGCTTCTCATTCGCTGGATCACACGCCAGGTACTACCACTTGGTTTCCTTCTCTATTAGTACCGCTTCGTAACGTCCTCTACCTGCTGCGCCCCAATCCGCTTCTCATTTGCTGGATCACACGCCAGGTACTACCACTTGGTTTCCTTCTCTATTAGTACCGCTTCGTACCGTCCTCTACCTGCTGCGCCCCAATCCGCTTCTCATTCGCTGGATCACACGGCAGGTACTTTGTTCTACCACTTGGCTTCCTACTGCATTCCATTAGTACCGATTGGTACCGTCCTCTACCTGCTGCGTTGCAATCCGCGTGTCATTCGCCGGATCACACGCCAAATACTTTCTTCTACTACTGCTTGCTTGCTATGCTACCACGTGATGAGAGACTGGTTTTGAGATGTCTCAAAGCAATAGTTTTGAGTCGACTCAAAACTACGCAAATTACTTTCTTCTACTACTGCTTGCTTGCTATGCTACCACGTGAGTAGAGACTGGTTTTGAGATGTCTCAAAAGCAATCTTCTATCGCCTGGATTGCACATCAGCTACTTTCTACTAGTGCTTGGTGGGGCCCACTTGGTGCGAGGTACTCCCACTTGGTATGCTACTGCATTCTATCGCTTGTCGGCGTCCCTTCCCTTCCTGCCTTTCACCTGCTACTTGCCCCTGTATTGCCTGCTCCCCTTATTCCTGCCTTACTGTTCTCAGTCCCTTTCTCCCCCTTTCCGCCCTGCATAGTACTTCCTTCCTCAGCCATTCCCAACGAGAGAACAGGAGTCCTTTGCTAGGGTAGGCTAATTTATGCTAGGCCACCCAGTCGCGAGTTGCTCAGCGTGATGGGTTGGGCTCGAGCCGCCTTGGCCTTGGATTGGCCTTGTGCCAGATTTCCTGTCTCCCGAGGGCCCTGGAATTGTGCCCGCAGCGCCTTGCAATTCCCCATAGTACCAACTTCACGTTCCTCCCAATGCCCCACCTACCCTGTGTTCAAACTGAATAACAACTACTACACTACTTCTACACCCCAGTTAGCACAGTTACAGAATATGATGCACTTACCATGATATTCAGTGACACGCTACCTGTTGGTACTGCAATCTACCTTCCCCTTCCACCCATGCGCCCTTTTCTCCCATCCTCCCGTCCTGTCACCTCCCCTTCCCATGCCATCAACCTCATCAGGTGCGAGCAGGCGAGAACAAGGGCGTTACTCACACCTACTCACTCCACCCCTATTGCTGTCCCCTTGCCTCCCGTCCCCCTGTCCTGTCTCCTCGCCTTCCTTCCCACCAGGTGCGGGCAGATGAGGACGAGGGCGTCAAGCGCAACTACTCGCTCCACTTCATTCCCAGATGTGACGCCATCTGCAACAGGGTGCGTACCTGAACTGAGTTCGACAAGGAGTACAAGTAGATTGGAGGGGGAGAGGAAGGGAGGGAGTGTGTGTGTGTGTGTGTGTGTGTGTGTGTGTGTTGCCGCGCGCGTGTGCGCGCTGTGTGAGAGTAACATGTATCTGCAGCATCAGCGGTGACTGCACCTGTATCACACAGCGGTCCAGTCCAGCAGTGCAAGAAGCAGTGCAGTGACCACCTTTGTGGAACAGCACTGACAGTGCGGCGGCAGCAGATGGAAGAGCAGGCTGTGTCTTAGTACGATGCTCTCACCAGCAGCTGACACGCAGACATCAGAAACAACACAAGAAAGGGCTTGTGTATCGCCACGTTGTGTTGCTGTGTCTTGTCTAAACTTCTTTCATCTGCTGCGCTTCTTTTTTATTTGGCACATCTGCAGATTCTGGAGCAGGGGCAGGTGGATGACCCTTGAGACGATTTTTTAGGTTGGACGATTTTTTAGGATGACCCTCAAAAGTTGGAGCAGGAGGGGTTGGTGGACGACCGGTGTTGAGTCGACTGGTGCAAAAGTAGCATTCTTGCCTCAATGATCCTGCAGCTACCTTTTCTCTCCGAAGGAGGGGCTGGGGGGCGACCCTTGAGTCGACTGGTGGGCCGCACACACACAAGTAGCATTGTTGCCACCTACAGCTACTTCTCTCCGCTCCACACATCACCACACATCCACTGCAGATTCTGGAGCAGGAGGGGCTGGGGGGCGACCCTTGAGTCGACTGGTGGGCGGCACACACACAAGTAGCATTGTTGCCACCTACAGCTACTTCTCTCCGCTCCACACATCACCACACATCCACTGCAGATTCTGGAGCAGGAGGGGCTGGGGGGCGACCCTTGAGTCGACTGGTGGGCGGCACACACACAAGTAGCATTGTTGCCACCTACAGCTACTTCTCTCCGCTCCACACATCACCACACATCCACTGCAGGTTCTGGAGCAGGAGGGGCTGGGGGGCGACCCTTGAGTCGACTGGTGGGCGGCACACACACAAGTAGCATTGTTGCCACCTACAGCTACTTCTCTCCGCTCCACACATCACCACACATCCACTGCAGATTCTGGAGCAGGAGGGGCTGGGGGGCGACCCTTGAGTCGACTGGTGGGCGGCACACACACAAGTAGCATTGTTGCCACCTACAGCTACTTCTCTCCGCTCCACACATCACCACACATCCACTGCAGATTCTGGAGCAGGAGGGGCTGGGGGGCGACCCTTGAGTCGACTGGTGGGCGGCACACACACAAGTAGCATTGTTGCCACCTACATCTACTTCTCTCCGCTCCACACATCACCACACATCCACTGCAGATTCTGGAGCAGGAGGGGCTGGGGGGCGACCCTTGAGTCGACTGGTGGGCCGCACACACACAAGTAGCATTGTTGCCACCTACAGCTACTTCTCTCCGCTCCACACATCACCACACATCCACTGCAGATTCTGGAGCAGGAGGGGCTGGGGGGCGACCCTTGAGTCGACTGGTGGGCCGCACACACACAAGTAGCATTGTTGCCACCTACAGCTACTTCTCTCCGCTCCACACATCACCACACATCCACTGCAGATTCTGGAGCAGGAGGGGCTGGGGGGCGACCCTTGAGTCGACTGGTGGGCGGCACACACACAAGTAGCATTGTTGCCAACTACAGCTACTTCTCTCCGCTCCACACATCACCACACATCCACTGCAGATTCTGGAGCAGGAGGGGCTGGGGGGCGACCCTTGAGTCGACTGGTGGGCGGCACACACACAAGTAGCATTGTTGCCACCTACAGCTACTTCTCTCCGCTCCACACATCACCACACATCCACTGCAGATTCTGGAGCAGGAGGGGCTGGGGGGCGACCCTTGAGTCGACTGGTGGGCGGCACACACACAAGTAGCATTGTTGCCACCTACAGCTACTTCTCTCCGCTCCACACATCACCACACATCCACTGCAGATTCTGGAGCAGGAGGGGCTGGGGGGCGACCCTTGAGTCGACTGGTGGGCGGCACACACACAAGTAGCATTGTTGCCACCTACAGCTACTTCTCTCCGCTCCACACATCACCACACATCCACTGCAGATTCTGGAGCAGGAGGGGCTGGGGGGCGACCCTTGAGTCGACTGGTGGGCGGCACACACACAAGTAGCATTGTTGCCACCTACATCTACTTCTCTCCGCTCCACACATCACCACACATCCACTGCAGATTCTGGAGCAGGAGGGGCTGGGGGGCGACCCTTGAGTCGACTGGTGGGCGGCACACACACAAGTAGCATTGTTGCCACCTACATCTACTTCTCTCCGCTCCACACATCACCACACATCCACTGCAGATTCTGGAGCAGGAGGGGCTGGGGGGCGACCCTTGAGTCGACTGGTGGGCGGCACACACACAAGTAGCATTGTTGCCACCTACAGCTACTTCTCTCCGCTCCACACATCACCACACATCCACTGCAGATTCTGGAGCAGGAGGGGCTGGGGGGCGACCCTTGAGTCGACTGGTGTGAGGCACACACACAAGTAGCATTGTTGCCACCTACAGCTACTTCTCTCCGCTCCACACATCACCACACATCCACTTCAGATTCTGGAGCAGGAGGGGCTGGGGGGCGACCCTTGAGTCGACTGGTGGGCGGCACATACACAAGTAGCATTGTTGCCACCTACAGCTACTTCTCTCCGCTCCACACATCACCACACATCCACTGCAGATTCTGGAGCAGGAGGGGCTGGGGGGCGACCCTTGAGTCGACTGGTGGGCGGCACACACACAAGTAGCATTGTTGCCACCTACAGCTACTTCTCTCCGCTCCACACATCACCACACATCCACTGCAGATTCTGGAGCAGGAGGGGCTGGGGGGCGACCCGCGGGTGGCAGTGGGCGAGTATCCCCTCGAGATGATCCCCGTGGACCATGACCTCCTTTCGCTGGACCTCCATACTCTTTATAAGGTGAATTCTGTACCCGTTATAAGGTGATTCTGGAAAAAGGTGGTAGTGGGCAAGTATCCCCTCGAGATGATCCCCATGGACCATGACCTCCTCGAACTCGACCTCCATGCCCTCTATAAGGTGATTCCTGTACCCTTTATAAGGTGATTTTTCATCAGCAGCAATCCAATCCAGGTCGTTAATGTGGACCGCTGCCACCGCTGCTTTACCCTTTCTCATCTTTCCATCTCTTCCCATCCATCCCACCTCCCCCTGCGGCTTTCGAGACGTCTCAAGAGTCATCTTTCCTTCCATCTCTTCCCATCCACCCCACCTCCCCCTGCGGCTTTCGAGACGTCTCAAAAGTCATCTTTCCTTCCATCTCTTCCCATCCACCCCACCTCCCCCTGCGGCTTTCGAGACGTCTCAAAAGTCATCTTTCCTTCCATCTCTTCCCATCCACCCCACCTCCCCCTGCGGCTTTCGAGACGTCTCAAAAGTCATCTTTCCTTCCATCTCTTCCCATCCACCCCACCTCCCCCTGCGGCTTTCGAGACGTCTCAAAAGTCATCTTTCCTTCCATCTCTTCCCATCCACCCCACCTCCCCCTGCGGCTTTCGAGACGCCTCAAAAGTCATCTTTCCTTCCATCTCTTCCCAGCCACCCCACCTCCCCCTGCGGCTTTCGAGACGTCTCAAAAGCCATCTTTCCTTCCATCTCTTCCCGTCCACCCCACCTCCCCCTGCGGCCGGTCCAATCCAGGACGTACATGTGGACTCAGATCCCACCTCCACGTTGCAAGTGGCACGAGTGCTGGCTAACTTCCAGGTGATGATCTCCGCTATTAAACATGACGATCTCAGCTGTTGAAGGTGACGATCTTAACCGTCGATTGAACCTGACAATTTCACTCAGCCTTTCTCCATTTATTTGTCTGGCTCCGTTCAGTTTTGAGGCGCCTCAAAACTATTTATCTGGCTCTGTTCTCCTGTTTGTCCATATATCCACGTGTTTGTCTTTTGAGACGCCTCTAAAGTCGTCTCTGTTCTCCTGTTTCTCCATACATCCACGTGTTTGTCTTTTGAGACGCCTCTAAAGTCGTCTCTGTTCTCCTGTTTCTCCATATATCCACGTGCTTGTCTTTTGAGACGCCTCTAAAGTCGTCTCTGTTCTCCTGTTTCTCCATACATCCACGTGCTTGTCTTTTGAGACGCCTCTAAAGTCGTCTCTGTTCTCCTGTTTCTCCATACATCCACGTGTTTGTCTTTTGAGACGCCTCTAAAGTCGTCTCTGTTCTCCTGTTTCTCCATACATCCACGTGCTTGTCTTTTGAGACGCCTCTAAAGTCGTCTCTGTTCTCCTGTTTCTCCATATATCCACGTGCTTGTCTTTTGAGACGCCTCTAAAGTCGTCTCTGTTCTCCTGTTTCTCCATACATCCACGTGCTTGTCTTTTGAGACGCCTCTAAAGTCGTCTCTGTTCTCCTGTTTCTCCATATATCCACGTGCTTGTCTTTTGAGACGCCTCTAAAGTCGTCTCTGTTCTCCTGTTTCTCCATACATCCACGTGCTTGTCTTTTGAGACGCCTCTAAAGTCGTCTCTGTTCTCCTGTTTCTCCATACATCCACGTGTTTGTCTTTTGAGACGCCTCTAAAGTCGTCTCTGTTCTCCTGTTTCTCCATACATCCACGTGTTTGTCTTTTGAGACGCCTCTAAAGTCGTCTCTGTTCTCCTGTTTCTCCATACATCCACGTGTTTGTTTTTTGAGACGCCTCTAAAGTCGTCTCTGTTCTCCTGTTTCTCCATACATCCACGTGTTTGTCTTTTGAGACGCCTCTAAAGTCGTCTCTGTTCTCCTGTTTCTCCATACATCCACGTGTTTGTCTTTTGAGACGCCTCTAAAGTCGTCTCTGTTCTCCTGTTTCTCCATACATCCACGTGTTTGTCTTTTGAGACGCCTCTAAAGTCGTCTCTGTTCTCCTGTTTCTCCATATATCCACGTGCTTGTCTTTTGAGACGCCTCTAAAGTCGTCTCTGTTCTCCTGTTTCTCCATACATCCACGTGCTTGTCTTTTGAGACGCCTCTAAAGTCGTCTCTGTTCTCCTGTTTCTCCATATATCCACGTGTTTGTTTTTTGAGACGCCTCTAAAGTCGTCTCTGTTCTCCTGTTTCTCCATACATCCACGTGTTTGTCTTTTGAGACGCCTCTAAAGTCGTCTCTGTTCTCCTGTTTCTCCATACATCCACGTGTTTGTCTTTTGAGACGCCTCTAAAGTCGTCTCTGTTCTCCTGTTTCTCCATACATCCACGTGTTTGTCTTTTGAGACGCCTCTAAAGTCGTCTCTGTTCTCCTGATTCTCCATACATCCACGTGTTTGTCTTTTGAGACGCCTCTAAAGTCGTCTCTGTTCTCCTGTTTCTCCATACATCCACGTGTTTGTCTTTTGAGACGCCTCTAAAGTCGTCTCTGTTCTCCTGTTTCTCCATACATCCACGTGTTTGTCTTTTGAGACGCCTCTAAAGTCGTCTCTGTTCTCCTGTTTTTCTCCATACATCCACGTGTTTGTCTTTTGAGACGCCTCTAAAGTCGTCTCTGTTCTCCTGTTTCTCCATACATCCACGTGTTTGTCTTTTGAGACGCCTCTAAAGTCGTCTCTGTTCTCCTGTTTCTCCATACATCCACGTGTTTGTCTTTTGAGACGCCTCTAAAGTCGTCTCTGTTCTCCTGTTTCTCCATACATCCACGTGTTTGTCTTTTGAGACGCCTCTAAAGTCGTCTCTGTTCTCCTGTTTCTCCATACATCCACGTGCTTGTCTTTTGAGACGCCTCTAAAGTCGTCTCTGTTCTCCTGTTTCTCCATATATCCACGTGCTTGTCTTTTGAGACGCCTCTAAAGTCGTCTCTGTTCTCCTGTTTCTCCATACATCCACGTGCTTGTCTTTTGAGACGCCTCTAAAGTCGTCTCTGTTCTCCTGTTTCTCCATATATCCACGTGCTTGTTTTTTGAGACGCCTCTAAAGTCGTCTCTGTTCTCCTGTTTCTCCATACATCCACGTGTTTGTCTTTTGAGACGCCTCTAAAGTCGTCTCTGTTCTCCTGTTTCTCCATACATCCACGTGCTTGTCTTTTGAGACGCCTCTAAAGTCGTCTCTGTTCTCCTGTTTCTCCATATATCCACGTGCTTGTCTTTTGAGACGCCTCTAAAGTCGTCTCTGTTCTCCTGTTTCTCCATACATCCACGTGTTTGTCTTTTGAGACGCCTCTAAAGTCGTCTCTGTTCTCCTGTTTCTCCATATATCCACGTGTTTGTCTTTTGAGACGCCTCTAAAGTCGTCTCTGTTCTCCTGTTTCTCCATACATCCACGTGTTTGTCTTTTGAGACGCCTCTAAAGTCGTCTCTGTTCTCCTGTTTCTCCATACATCCACGTGTTTGTCTTTTGAGACGCCTCTAAAGTCGTCTCTGTTCTCCTGTTTCTCCATACATCCACGTGTTTGTCTTTTGAGACGCCTCTAAAGTCGTCTCTGTTCTCCTGTTTCTCCATACATCCACGTGCTTGTCTTTTGAGACGCCTCTAAAGTCGTCTCTGTTCTCCTGTTTCTCCATATATCCACGTGCTTGTCTTTTGAGACGCCTCTAAAGTCGTCTCTGTTCTCCTGTTTCTCCATACATCCACGTGCTTGTCTTTTGAGACGCCTCTAAAGTCGTCTCTGTTCTCCTGTTTCTCCATACATCCACGTGTTTGTCTTTTGAGACGCCTCTAAAGTCGTCTCTGTTCTCCTGTTTCTCCATACATCCACGTGTTTGTCTTTTGAGACGCCTCTAAAGTCGTCTCTGTTCTCCTGTTTCTCCATACATCCACGTGTTTGTCTTTTGAGACGCCTCTAAAGTCGTCTCTGTTCTCCTGTTTCTCCATACATCCACGTGTTTGTCTTTTGAGACGCCTCTAAAGTCGTCTCTGTTCTCCTGTTTCTCCATACATCCACGTGTTTGTCTTTTGAGACGCCTCTAAAGTCGTCTCTGTTCTCCTGTTTCTCCATACATCCACGTGTTTGTCTTTTGAGACGCCTCTAAAGTCGTCTCTGTTCTCCTGTTTCTCCATACATCCACGTGTTTGTCTTTTGAGACGCCTCTAAAGTCGTCTCTGTTCTCCTGTTTCTCCATACATCCACGTGTTTGTCTTTTGAGACGCCTCTAAAGTCGTCTCTGTTCTCCTGTTTCTCCATACATCCACGTGTTTGTCTTTTGAGACGCCTCTAAAGTCGTCTCTGTTCTCCTGTTTCTCCATACATCCACGTGTTTGTCTTTTGAGACGCCTCTAAAGTCGTCTCTGTTCTCCTGTTTCTCCATACATCCACGTGTTTGTCTTTTGAGACGCCTCTAAAGTCGTCTCTGTTCTCCTGTTTCTCCATACATCCACGTGCTTGTCTTTTGAGACGCCTCTAAAGTCGTCTCTGTTCTCCTGTTTCTCCATATATCCACGTGCTTGTCTTTTGAGACGCCTCTAAAGTCGTCTCTGTTCTCCTGTTTCTCCATACATCCACGTGCTTGTCTTTTGAGACGCCTCTAAAGTCGTCTCTGTTCTCCTGTTTCTCCATACATCCACGTGTTTGTCTTTTGAGACGCCTCTAAAGTCGTCTCTGTTCTCCTGTTTCTCCATACATCCACGTGCTTGTCTTTTGAGACGCCTCTAAAGTCGTCTCTGTTCTCCTGTTTCTCCATATATCCACGTGCTTGTCTTTTGAGACGCCTCTAAAGTCGTCTCTGTTCTCCTGTTTCTCCATACATCCACGTGCTTGTCTTTTGAGACGCCTCTAAAGTCGTCTCTGTTCTCCTGTTTCTCCTCCATATCCACGTGCTTGTCTTTTGAGACGCCTCTAAAGTCGTCTCTGTTCTCCTGTTTCTCCATACATCCACGTGCTTGTCTTTTGAGACGCCTCTAAAGTCGTCTCTGTTCTCCTGTTTCTCCATACATCCACGTGTTTGTCTTTTGAGACGCCTCTAAAGTCGTCTCTGTTCTCCTGTTTCTCCATACATCCACGTGCTTGTCTTTTGAGACGCCTCTAAAGTCGTCTCTGTTCTCCTGTTTCTCCATATATCCACGTGCTTGTCTTTTGAGACGCCTCTAAAGTCGTCTCTGTTCTCCTGTTTCTCCATACATCCACGTGTTTGTCTTTTGAGACGCCTCTAAAGTCGTCTCTGTTCTCCTGTTTCTCCATACATCCACGTGTTTGTCTTTTGAGACGCCTCTAAAGTCGTCTCTGTTCTCCTGTTTCTCCATACATCCACGTGTTTGTCTTTTGAGACGCCTCTAAAGTCGTCTCTGTTCTCCTGTTTCTCCATACATCCACGTGCTTGTCTTTTGAGACGCCTCTAAAGTCGTCTCTGTTCTCCTGTTTCTCCATATATCCACGTGCTTGTCTTTTGAGACGCCTCTAAAGTCGTCTCTGTTCTCCTGTTTCTCCATACATCCACGTGCTTGTCTTTTGAGACGCCTCTAAAGTCGTCTCTGTTCTCCTGTTTCTCCATACATCCACGTGTTTGTCTTTTGAGACGCCTCTAAAGTCGTCTCTGTTCTCCTGTTTCTCCATACATCCACGTGCTTGTCTTTTGAGACGCCTCTAAAGTCGTCTCTGTTCTCCTGTTTCTCCATATATCCACGTGCTTGTCTTTTGAGACGCCTCTAAAGTCGTCTCTGTTCTCCTGTTTCTCCATACATCCACGTGTTTGTCTTTTGAGACGCCTCTAAAGTCGTCTCTGTTCTCCTGTTTCTCCATACATCCACGTGTTTGTCTTTTGAGACGCCTCTAAAGTCGTCTCTGTTCTCC